GGGCCGGGCCGAGCAGCTCCGCTCACGGGACACGGAACGGAATCCCGCCGGCTCCTGCCCGCGGTGGAGACGGGCGGCTGCGAAAGGACGATGCTCTCCTCTCCCCCACTAGGAAAGACCATGCAGCTTACACCAATAATTTGGGTTTTTTCCATTCATACAGCTCATATCAATTTAAATACAGTAAGTTAGACAAAGCAGAGGATACTTCTGTGGGTCCTCTGTAACAGGACTTTCTCGGAATTGAAATGCCTATGAAAAAGTGTCCTAAAATAATGTTACATAGAGACAAAAGTTTGGGCTCACTCTAACATAAAAGCAACCAGCCTGAAATTCCAGCATCTCGAGCAGCAGAACATGTTAAAAAAATCTCCATAAGCACAGCATGAAAATCAGCAAGTTTGAGTTCAGTATCTCTTATGGGCACAGAGAAGAAACACCATAAAACCTGGCAAGGCATATATAGACACTCCAAAACCATTTTAAAGGCTTCTATCTTGATCTCAGGTTAGAACAGGAAGGATTTAATCTAACTCCAGCTACATTTGATAGCAGAGAAGGTAAGGGATCAGAAAAAAAGTCAAGATAGATAGTCTGTAAGTTAAAAACCATCATGAACACCCCTCTGAAGAACCAGCAGAAAGCTGGTACTTGTCAATGACAATTCAAGACAGAAGAGATGTGACAAACACCAGTGAACCCACGCACCTGCTAATTCAGTCTCTGTGGTTATGGCCCAGAAAGAGCCCTGCTATATGCAAAGGCAGCAGATGGCAATAGTATTTTCTCATTTCGGAGAAAAACCTGCCTTACATAAATGCAGTTCAGCAATTAACATGCTTGTATTCCATGAGTCCCATGTTTGTCCAACAGCTCCCCATAAAGAATAATGAAGCTCAAGGCAGACACCAGAACTGAGATTTCTATCACAGGAACCTGGCAGAACGAGAAGAGGTATTTACGGAATTTACCGTCATCAAAAAAAAAGACCGTGGACCCACACAGACAGGGCTCGGGGTTTTCTCTGGTACTCCTACAAAGCATGACTGAAACGTCAGTAAGACTGACAAAGCTGTCAACAGCCAGGACGATCGCAATTCAACAACCTGCCTGTGCTGCTGCAACTACTGGAAATGAACATACTGGATCCAAGCTTTGACCAACACACATAATTAAAAGCAAGAAGTGTATCATCTTAGCTACATTTTCACAATTCTAAAATACTTAATTTTAGTTTCAACGCTGATGCAAAAGCATCCGTCTTTCTGATGTCAGTCTTCCACACCACACGAGCATACTCATACAAACAGCAACAATAACTTTCCTTTGCCAGGAACATTTTCCCCTTGCCAGCACCTATTGTGTTCAGTTCACCATCTCCTCATCTTTCTAACCTGGCCTCTTAGCTTTCTTTAACTGATGGTATTTATAATTTTCTGCTATTATAGCAATATTAAGGAACAACATGAATGATTGTGTATGAAGCAATGGAAAATGCAAACAGTTGTTCAAACATACTGTCTACATGTCCTGTACGTCATTGGTTTCTATTCCTTCTTACAGGATAAATATTGCTGGCTGCGAGGTTTTGGTGTTTCAAACAGTACAATGCTACATTTGAAGATGCATACCATTACACAGGCATGCAAACACCACCAGCTAAGGGAACCCTGCTTGCAAACCCTAACTTCCAAACTTAAGAATACAACAGGAAGTTGCACAACTTAAAGAATATGTTACAGGCGCAAGACACATTTAAAGGAAGAAATTACTGCCAATTGGTAAATGTTCCTTTCTTTGGGATACAAAAGTATTGCTACCTAGGACTGCACTAGCATCTAACTTCTTTTTTTTTTTTTGTTGAAGGAGTTAACACACCTTTCTTACAGAAACTGATGCAGCATTTCCAAGAACTTATACCAGCATTTCCCTGAGCTTAGCAACAGTACAGTGTTGGGAAATTTTCCAGCACAATTCAAGATGAAAGAGATTCATCATGCAATTTTCTCTAAACGTGCATTCATATTACTACCACCATCGTAATATATTGTCAGCATATAAAAGAGTGATGTTTCTAGGTAACGATACTAACAACAGCTGCAGTGTAGAAAAAAAAATTAACCATCATGACTTTAGGCAAAAGTGTAGCTGAAGTTTAGGCACGAAAGTTACATGTAAATTACGGAAAAGCTTTGAAAATGTTAAACCAAGATACTCACACAGCAAATGTCAGAAAATATAAACTTAGAACATCAATTCCCTTAAAGTCACATATAAAGCATTTGCTCTTCACTAATCTTATTAAGTTCTTATAGACAGTCAGTCACTTCATTATTAAAATACAAACAAACCCACTGCACAACAAGGGAAAAAATAAGCTTACTGGGGAAGTAGCTCGTGCTAGGTCTCTGCTCACTGACAGGACAGCTGTAGGTATTTGCTTTAGGCAGATGGCAATTGAACAGGACATGTTACAAATACTACAGTGTAACCCCAGCTCCACAGACTTCAAACAGAATAAGATAGTCATGAATGAATAACAGTCAAAATGCAAATACAATGAATACACATCACAAGAATCATCAGACGATCTTACTAGAAAAATTACTAAGATTTCTCAGAATACCGATATGTTTTTCATCTCTCGCCTTAGTGTGATTTAGGGCAAGATACTTCTCTTCCTCTTAAGAAATCTGAGAGGGTGAAGAGGAAGAAAAAGCAGCAGATGCAGCTAACAGTAAATTCTTATTAGCAATACAGTACTGCAGCTCAGGATGGAATATAAGTAATTATAAATATGAAATCTCCCTGTTGTAGCCAACAGGAAACAATTCTGACGTTCTTTTCAAAAGATATTTCAAAAAACACACAGCGAAAAGTAGGCTTTTTCTATTGCTCTTACAAACAGCATTTTTTCTAGCAAGCAAGAGCTTTCTCATTGTTCTCTTTCCACCGTTCTACTGTTCTTCTGAAAAGTGATATGGGCAGGAATAGAAGAACAGACAGTTTGGAAAAGCCAAAGCGAGGGAAGAAAGAAGATACATTCAGTGGAAGATTTTGTAAAGAATCAGATCCTAAGCTTCATCAGCTGTTATAAGACAAAACATTACTGAGGGTGGTGGAAAGAAAAATGTGTGGATACATCATCTGGAAGACATGCAGAAATGTTAAGCGTCAGGCTCTAGACAAAGGAATAGAAAGAAAAAATTGTAAGGACAGAGCACTAATTCAAATTAGCCAAATAAGGAAGTATAACATAATAAACGAATGAAGTAAAATATAAATTAAATTATCAACATATAAAAGCTAGAACATTCAGGGTCACAAATGATACTCATGATCTACTAGCTTAATACCTATCAACTTCCTCAAGAACGTCTTGTCAGAGGACAAGCCAAGATATCACTTACAAAACTAAGCTACAGCACAAAGAACAGATCATATTTATCAGATCAAATAATTTTATCAGGTGATAGAACACTTAATCTGTGCCAGAATTTATTTATTGTCACTTTCTTTTTCTTAATTTAAGCTGTATAAAGCAGCTTCAAATGTTACAAGCTTGGCTAGTATTATGAAATACTTAGAAGACTACATAAATCATCATGAGACGATAATAATTTAAAGACCTTTTTTTGGTACAAATTCTCAATATCCAAAGTTTGCTTTGGATTGCAATGGATTACAAACAACACTGCGTTTGAAGAAGACTGACAATCTGTGACCCTTCAAATTTTGGCCCTGGACCACAGGCATTTAATAATTTTAAAACAAGGAATGAACTTCCCTAAACACTATATTTATCTATGAATTGTTCTCCCAGATATTAACTGTGCTACAGAATATTTTTCTCTTTAGGTTATAAAAGAGATGTCTGAGTCAGATGTTGTAGGAGTTAACAAGCCTGCATCCTTGTCTTCTATGGATTATTTGAAACTATGTTGGCAAGTTAAACCTTATCCCACAAAACCAAAACTGAATCTCAAGCAGGAAGTTCAGAAGAGAAAGAAGAGGCTAAGAGAAAAATGTCTCTCTCTTATCATAGCAACTCACATTTGAAACGTGACCCGAAAGGCCTTTGGAGAAAGAAAGGTATGGATGTTAACCTGCCTACAGGGTATTCACAACCTTTTAACCTCTGGAACCGGCCTGAAGTTACAGAACTCTTCCGGGGAATATTAAAAATAAGTCCCAAGAACTACCACCAGCCAACCCTCCACAGACGTACGGCAAAGAGGCAAGTGACCCAAGACTAAAACCCGTCCGGAGGACTCAAGCATGAGAGCAGCCCCTGACAGGGCATCTCGCCCAGCAGATAACACCTCGACAGCACAGGAACTCGTCCCAACCCCCGCCCGCCCCGCGGCCAGCCCCGCTCCGCGGAGCCC